AACTGAATGCAGTCCCCCCCCCCCCCCCCCCCCCCTCTCCGGAAAAGGTTTCTGGCAACGCCACTGCGCAGGTTTTTTTTGTCTTCCTTTTTTTTTTTTTGAGGGGGGGGGGGGGTATATATACGACACGTGTCACGGTTTTTCAGCGTGCATGCCTCTTCTGACGAACGTACACGACGTTTTCAGCCGCACCCGGTCGTTTACAAACGTTTTTCCACATCTACACTACTGGACATGCGCTTAACCCCTGGAAACCGTTCAAAAAGAACGCCGCCGGACCTTGGCCGCAGGATGGGAGTTTTGTAATCGTCTTAAAGCGGCCTATGACGTCACTTCCTCACGCCGAAACACGCGTGAACGCACGTCGGTACAACAACTGGCGGCGGTCACTTCCAAAATTCTTTGTTCTCTCCCTCTCTCTTCTAGCACACGATGCAAGTTCAACGACGCAATGAGCACCACAAAAACAAAAAAAAATAATATATATATATTTTTTTTTTGCACCCGACACGAAAACAATGTTAACCAGAACGCAAGTGGTCAGTTCAAATACATGGCTCGCACGTGCCGCCATAGCGCTAAGTTGGCAATCGTTGCTACTTGCCAAAAAAACGAAAAAAAAAAAAACGATTGTGTGAATTGTACTTCGCATAAGGTACGCAATCGGCAGCGAGGTCACCAAAATGTTCCGCTGACGTCACGCTAATGCAAGCCATGTACGTAACTTTTTTTTTTTTTTTTTTTTTTAGTTTAACCAGGAGGGAAGGAGGAGATCGCGATATTCAACTGGAAGTTCTCGAAAATCAAGCACCACCGGAATGTGGAAAATCCGCAGAAACGGCGAGATACCACAAAAAAAAAATACAACCAACACGTCATGCCTTTGCCCATCCCCACACACAAACATCTGGTGCGTCCTAAACAAGTGAGCCGCAAACTCAGCAACAAACATTGACTCACGGCTCAAAAAACAAACAAGGACCAACGCATTTGGCACGCCTTGTAAAATTCGAATTCCAAACGCACACACGTGAAATTAAACACGCGAATCTAGTTTCGCAAGAAGTTTTATGTCCATCTATTTAGAGCTCAATGTTGGTGTAGTAAAATATTAAAAAATAAATAAGAATTGGAGGCCGTGTGTTTGGTTTATGAGCTCGCTCCCGGATGGCTTGCTGAACGCGAAAAAACGCCGAAATTCCATTGCAGAGGCTGACGATGAGTGAGTCGCGATAACGAATACTTTTAACGAAATATACGGACAATTACCACCTGGGAGCAAGCTCACAAACCAGTGCGCAGATGACCAACGTCCGGTTTAAGGTATAGGCGGGGTCTCAAACTGATCAGAGTCTGGGGGCCAGATAGCTCACCCCCAAAAGACGAGGGCCAACGGAGAAGGGGGGAAGGGTGCAATGGTTTGCTATTGTGGAACAAAAACAGACATGGAGCAAAGGTGTTTTACGTTGCAAAGCAGCCGACTGTCCCAGCAACATCCCAGAAATTTTCTAGAGAAGGAACTTCGTGCTTTCTGCTTTTTTTTGTAAGCTCGCCGTTTTGCCATCTTTAGCTTTCACTTGCATATGTGACTAAGTTTGGGCCCAAACTTGATGTCACAAGAAGATTTAAAACGCGAACGTACCGGCAGTTTTCGATAGAACGAAAGCAAGCACACCGTCTTTACCTGTCGCACAATTCACTGTGCTCAACAGGCATAGAGAAAAATATCTCTTCATACTGCAGTTTTTGCTTTCGTCGCCATTTTTATTGCAGCATTACAAGAAAATTCATGTAGTTCAGAGGTATTTTCTAACACAGCTACAAGCCCGAGCTTATAAATTCATCTTTGGCAGCTGCTTGTGCTGAGCAAGCAAGAGTTCGTGCAGCCGAGGGGCCTCCTTGAGCAAAGATCTCGCCCTTGTAGCTTAGTATTGGTATCATACTTGGGTAGTAATTGAATTACAGTGATTGGATTACGGTAATTTAATTACTTTTTTTTTGTAAATATTTACTTTCCGCCAAAAGGAATCATAATTGTACTTTAATTACTTTCTAGCGTCAGTAATTGCCATATTTCAGGCACAATTACAATTACTTTTGCAAGACTGCAGCGCCGACGAATCCTCACTAAAAGCCTCAGCGCTCGCACAAGCGGCCTAGCTCTCGGTGAAACACTCGCACAACGACACGCACACACAAAACATAATTAGCGTCGCATTGGTTGTTTCCTTGCTTACACTGCGGGCTGAGAGACAATCCTTTTTGGAGCCTACCTCAACGGCGCCGTGTTGCGTCGTTTGCTGTGCGATCAGAAAACAATAGCCGAAACATGCCAAAATAATAAAAGAAAAAAAATTGAGCTTCAGCTTTTAGTTGAGCTAGGGAATTTTAATTATCTACGAAGTATTTGTTTGCCAGTTTTTTTACGTCTTTCTTTCGGTACTGTCGCATATTTGTATCTCTGAAATTTTTTCAAGTTCACTCCCTGCTGGTTTTACTTCGTATATTTTTTTGCATAAGCATTTTGGAAACTGACCTCGCACCTGTGAATATTGCCACCAATGATTCGGGAGCCTCGATTCGGTTATTATATATTTCTGAGCAATTATTATTTCAACCCTGTGTAAATAATTGACAATACCATGATGTTTGGAAGTGAATGTGGCCGTCTTAGCGCGTGTGGATTTTAGTTTTATATTAACACTTGTCGAATATAATATGAAGAATTGTCGCATTTTTATTTTCCGGGCTAAGATAACTGTCAACCCAATTTTTTCTTTAGCGACCATGCGTCTTCTAGCCCCCCATATGAAGTAATTTATTATTTATAAAAAAAAAAATATAAGTAGTATTTTATTGCCTCAAACTGTCAAGTTCTATCATGAATTCAACAAAATTCACAAAACGGAAAGGACAATACGGGGCACTTATGCAGCGATGCTTAAGCCTCCTCAAACATTCGGACAAGAAATGAACAAATACTGTATGTTGCGTTCTATACAACTCGTTTAAGTTAAATAGCCCAAGTCGGGTCACTCTCAGAAATAAGTAATTGTAAAGTATTGCATTATTTTTAAAAGTTTGTAATCAATTACTTTCACGCAGTAGTAATTGTAGTTAACTTATTTTTGAAGCAAAGTAATTCTGACTAAATTACATTTTGAAAGTACACTATTATTTACCCATGGTTGATTGATACCACCATTTCGGTTGATTTACATGAGAAAGGGCTGTGAAGCAAATGTTCAAACAATGTAATACTCCGACAAAAAAAAAAAAAAAAAACAGTGCAAAATGTGTGAACACGTTATATGAGCAGAGCTCCTTTTCGAGCGGGAATGAGTCGACTGCATGGAACTATTAATTATGGCGTATGTGGCGCTCGAGATATGGGAACGGGGCCTCGTACCCCTTCAGGTTGGATAGGCCGTAGCAATTGCTGATTCACTGCCAAAAAAAAAAAAAAAAAAAATCTATTATTGGCACTGCGAGCCCTTCAAATATGCGTCTTAGCGGGTATGCTACGCAAAAGAAAAAGGCGACGTGTTGGGCGCTCGGATGGCTTTTCAGCTCTCACAGAAAGGTTATCGAGATAGACACCCACGCTCAAAGCGACGCGCCAATTTGGCGACCGGAAGTGACGCTGCGAACAGCATCCGGTCGGTATCAAATGGCCTAGCACCCGTGTCACCTCTAACCAAAACAAAACCTTTTTTTTGTTTGTTTATCTATAACTTATATCTGCCACGTTGAAAGTTTCAACAAATATACGTCGAAATCCTTGGAGTAAAAAGTAACCGCTCAATTAAATACACGATCTACCAGATGAAGTGCAAGAAACCGACGGTGTGCACATTAAAATGAATCACCCTGCAGGACTGGGATTGTCACATTTAATTGGCGCCAGTTCACTAAAACTAATAGACTAAGCGCTCCGCAGAGAAAGTGCGACACGCAGCTTCGGTCGTCGTCGGTTGAAAAAGAGAGGCGTCAACGCGAACGCGTCGTTTTCTTGTTTGCGCGGATTTTCGCCGAAAACGCGCGTCGGAGTGTCGAGAACGCGTTGCCGCACGCCGGCGTGCATTCACCCCATCGGAGCCTCTCAGTGAATGGGTGACATAACTCGAGAAATTCCGAACGAACAACTTGCATGGAAGGAGACGACAGAAGCCTTCGCTTCGGAGAAAAAGCTTCTTTCGTCATTTTACCGTTTGTCTATTTGCTTCTCTCTAGCTTTGAGTGCTTCTTTTTAAACAACTGCGCGCCTAGCCTAAAGTCAAACACGCAAACAGAAAGAAAGAAAAAAAAAAAACGACGAAAGAAGGGGGTTAGGTTTAAAAATACGTTCTAGGCGAAGGGACAAGTGTTGCTGTTCAGAGCCGCTCACTCACGCTGCTAAAAAAGAACAAATTAAAACAAAAACACACACCTGCAAAAGTAAACAAAAAAAAAAAAAAGAGCGGCGATGTTTACTGGTTTAGCTCTATCTCCGCCGGGTAGGTTGTACAGCAAGGACGAAAATCAAAGTGGATAACAAAGAAAAAATATAAGAAGGTGGTTAAAAAAAAGAAAGACAGAATCGCGCTGCCAACGCGATACGCTAAGCTCTCTCGCTCTGTTCCCCAGCCCAAGGCCACACGTCCGCATTCGCGCCAAGCGAGGAAAGGAAGTGAGGCTCGACTTTCATTAATGGAAAAGCCGTCCCTCTCGACCAACGCGGGGACGAACCCAAGACGATACCGTAACAACAGACAGACGCACAGACCACACACACGCGCTCGCCCAGCGCTCCTGAATCAGCAGTACCGGAGAAAAATAAAACAAAAAGAGATAAAAGAGCGTCGCAGGACGATCGACCGCTGCGTTGATAAGCCACAACCCCCTCCTCCATTCAGATTCTTATAGTGCGCGTAAAATAGATCTGTTTACGAGTGCGGCCGTGGAGTCGGGTCAAATGCACACACACACACCACCACCAAAAAAATGAAAAGAACACTCACCGCTCAGGCAGTACACCTGACAGCCATCTTGACGTAATCGCTGGACGAGAACTCCAGTCACCTGTCCGTCGCAGCCGTACGCGCCGTCGGCGTCGTATAGCACCACGGGCACGTCCCGGTACCGCGACTGAAAGCACTCCCGCTGGCGAGCCTCTCGGAGCACGCTGGAAACGCACAGCTTGCCGTCGGAGAGCCGCCGAAGCACGAGCACGGAGGCCGGGAGGCTCACGCCCAGGGATCCCCGCACGCGGCACCGGGCGAAGTCGTCCGGGGACCGGCAGTCGAGCAGGAGAAGCTCGGACGCCGACTCGCGGACTCGCCGGGCTACCCAGTCGGGATCCACGGTCGGGCAAGCGCCACCGCCGCTCATCACGGTCGTACAGTAGTCGCGCGACGGCATTCTGGAGCGGGGAACGTCGGCGGCATGGGAGGCCCCGACTCGAGTCCGATGCGGGATTCAGGCAACGCGAGGGAACGACACAACAACCGGCGCTATCATCACCACACCGCCATTGCTGCTCCGACTATGGGCTATGTTGGTCGTCCTCCCCGGCGGCGGCAGCGGCGGCAGCGTCGACGCCGACGCGTGCTTCGGGAAGCAGACGGCAGTAGCGCTGCTGTCTGCTTCTCGCGCTCCGCCAATGGGAGCGAGGCGCGCGGACGAGCGCGCCCTCCGATTGGACGCCGCTCGCGCGACGTCACGACTGCGGAAGAGAGAGAGACGAAGGGTGAAAGGTTTTCAGAGAGAGAAGTAGCAAGAGAAAGCAAAACTAGCAAAAAAACAAATTCAAGATGGCGGCGCGCGCGTAGGCGTCCGGGGGTGTAGCTCTGCGCGTAGCTCTACCCACGTCCTTCGACGCGCCCCTCAACTTGTTTCGTTGGGGAACTGTTGTTGCCTCGGGTGCGGGTGTGGGCGGCTAGAAGCCAACAATAAAAGGAGCGCGTGGGGTTCTGTCGGCTCTCGTGCGCCGGCCCCACAACGACGAGCAGGACAGTGTTCTCGGCGTGGGGGTGGGGAGGTTGTTCGAGCGGATGGAGGAGAAAGAGAGTGGGCGAGGGGTAGCGAGGTGCGTCCGCGAGGCGGCGCTGCCCATCAATGGAGTGACGTTCTCCTGAATGAACGAGTACAGGCGGAAGCCATTCAAGCTCCCCGCTGGCTGCGTTGGCTGCGTCACGTTGTTTGTGGCCGCTGCTACGGGCCGTTCGGACACAGACGAGGTCGGCGACGTCGTCTTGTCTGGGACGACCGGTCGGTGGTGGCGACACGACCGACACGAGCAGCCGTCGCCGGACAGAAATCTGACGGGAAGAGCTCGCGTACGTCGAATGTCGTCGGCGTGCCCGAGCTACGACGACCGAGATACGTCTCTGACGGCGTGCACGAAGGCCGTGGCATAGCCGTGGCTTGATACGACCACGCTCCTTGTTTCGTGATTCGGTCTGGCGTGATGGGAGAGTCGGAAGGACGCGTGGGGGCGACGTATCGAACGCTCACCGGAGGTTCTGATGACTCATTAGGACGACGTCACGTGGTACATGATCCGTTTCCTGTCGTCGCGGCGTGTTCTTTTCCCTGCGGGGCTGAAAATAGGCGAGGCTATCTGGCCAAGATAAGGAGGACGGGTGACGTGGGAAGTGACGTTAGTCGGAGGCTCGCGGTCTCGTCGGTACGGGGGTGGTGGCTGTAGCGTGGGTCGCTGCGAGAGAGAGCTCGTTTTAGAAGGCGGAAGTAAAACAGCGTAAAACATAATGGTGCGGAGATTGTATTTGAAAGCGCGCTTTCAAAAAGATACATGTCGGAAAACGCTCTAGTTTCGTCCAAAAACTCGTATAACACCAACGTGATTTCTACTGAATTAAGTGTTTGGTTCGAGCTAGTTGGTCCATGATGATTTAAAAGGTTAAAAGCGATTTTAACCCTTTAAACCTTCTACTGATATTTTTTATCATGTAAGGATTAACAAACATTAAACTACATCTGCTTTCACAATGTTTAACCAAAACCACCATAATGTGGTAAACAGAGAGATTTCGTCGCTTACAGTATATATTCGTGACAAATTATGTTGATATTTTTCCTTCATAATTTATCGTTGAATTCTGTTGTGACGTATAGGCCGTTTTAGTGAAACAGGGCAAGAGAAAAAATGGAAAGGGCTGCCGGTGCTTTCCTGATTGGTTAAAAACGAGCGAAAAACCATGATGGACGCCTGTGTTCCTTCAAGTTGTCACGGTTGTCACATCAATACCCTTTATTAAGCTTTGAGGGCCCTTACGGGCATTACACAAGAGGTAAGGGGGCATTGAAACATTATTCGATAAAGGCATATCAAAACAGAAATCAGCACTCAAACAAACATATAAATAATATACTAAAAAAAAAGGAGACTATTAGTGCAGTTGCAGATGGTTACTTAGTTGCGATATGAACGTGGTATGATCCATCTGGGTCACAATACTGCTAGGCAGGTTATTCCAGTCTGCTATTGTTAACGGCAAACTGTAGTTAAGAAACCAGACAGATGAAGCGAAAATCGGGCGTACCTTACACGCGTTATCAATGCGAGGAAATAGGCGATTAAGTGGAAATAGCAATGAAGTTCTGATGTCACTGTTATATGATAGTAGATCTTGTCAAAAAGGGACAGGCCTGATAATGTTCTTCTGGATGAAAGTAGAACGATGTTAAGGTTATTCTTAGTGAAGTGATACTGGCGTCTCGTGAGCAGACTGAAAATATGAATCTGATTGCGTGATTTTCAACTGCCTCTACGTTTGTTACCAATGAATGCCGCCAAGGAGACCAAATGGATGACACGTAGTGGAGTATGGACCTCACAAGTTTAGTGTTAGTTGTTTTACTAATATCAGTTTTAGATTGCGTCAAAGATAACCCAAAGAGCGGTTAGCGATAGACAGGATGTATGCTAAATGATCGTGTTCCATGCGAGATCGTTAGATAAGTGTACACCGAGATATTTGTAGGACGGACTCCTGGTAATGGGCTGGTTGCAGGTTGTATACGTAGAAGTGATAGGGACTATGAGCACGTGTAAAGGAAATGAGTTGCGTTTTAGAAGAATTAATTGTCATTTTCCACGTTTTACGCCAGTCGGCAATAATGTTAAGGTCAGCATGTCGAGATTTTCGATCGTCCAGGTGAGGCGCGGATCTGTAAATTAGGCAGTCATCTGCGACAAGTCCGTATGCAGGATGTTACGTGATCAGGGAGGTCATTTACAAATATTATGAACAGTAAGAGCCCAAGAACACTGCCCTGGGGGACTCCGGATGTTACAGGACGATAGCAAGACGAGGAATCGTTAACTACGGTGTGCTGAGTACGATTGGTTAAAAATTGCCAGATCCATGAGATCACTGATGGTAGAATATGAATTTGATTTAGTTTAAGCAACAGTAGGGTATGGGATACCCTACCAAATGCCTTAGAATGTTAACTCAAGGGAGCTGTTATTTTATTAACTAGAAATGTTAACTCACTTGAACAATCCGTACACGCCGCGACTGCCGCCGCGAAGCGGCGTAAACGTGTGTGTGTGTGTTTGTGTGTGTGTGTGTGGGGGGGGGGGGGGGGCGTGTGTTAACAAGCGCCTGAGTGATACACGTTCGTAGCAGAAAAGCCTTTTTTAAACAGCGTTCCTTTTCGATAAAAGGAGTTTTTGTAAACTGAGGCTCCGCTTTCTCTAAACCGTGTTTCAATAAAACGTGCCCGTTTTCTAAAACGGTTTGGCATTTCATCAAACCTTTTGAAACGGTGTGATGAAATGGCGTTCGATCAACCGTAGTGAACCCGTTTTCGGTAACAAGGTGATGTGACGTCAGGCGGCGCGAACAGGTGAAGCCGCGTGGGAGGGGGTAAAACGGAAGGCGACGGAAAACGCCGGAAAGGGTTCCCCCCATAGTGTACGCTAGGTGGCGCAAGCTACCGCCCATTACAAAGGGTACAGCCATTAACATCCATTCATGTTTTGCGGGAAAGTGGACGCGAGGGCGTTGTTCATAAATAGTACGAGCCCGCAGGAAAAGAAAAAACAGAGCAAATATGCAAGCAGTAGGCGTCACTTCATACACACTGCAATGCAAACGACAGGGACAAGTGAAAGACGTATACAGGACAAGCGCTGTGACTGAACGCAATGCTAAACCTAACTCAACCCTAAATAAAAATTTAAAAAAAACAACGCAATTTTACCGGCCAATGCTTGTCGCAAATGTAAGACTTTTCTTTGGCGGATTTTGGTTAAACACTGAATCTGTAGAGTCTAAAGAGTTCGAGTACATAAATAAGTATAGCCGGCGACAGGTGAGGAGTTCGGGGGAACAGGACTTCTTTTAGTTCAAAAGACGCTGGCAGTAATAATTAAAAATGCAATTCTTACTACCATCGTTTTTCGAGCTGAAAGATGTCCTGTTTCCGACCCCGTCCTCGATGTCTTATCCTTTCGTGTATTCGTATCGATTCACCAACACGCTCGTCTTAAATCTATTCCTCCTCCCAGCCCTTTCCGCTTTAGCAGTCCTATAACGCCTCCTCTCCAGCGTCAACTTTGCTAAAGAGGAGAGAGGAGCCTTCCTCGAAGACTTAACCTGTCACCAACTGTAGAAGTTCAACGTATTTCTTTCAGAAGCATGCGTATTGGCCCGCAGGAACCGTGGGCTCCACGCGTGCGCAAAAACCTGTTTTATTAAAGAAGAAGTCATCTGCGCGTGCGTGATTACACAGTCACGATGAACTGACGTCACAGCGTATTCACATCTTTGAACCACCGTCTCTGAAGAGGGGGGGGGGGGGGGGGGGGGGGGGGAGGATGGGTTGATTCTTACAGCGACCGCCAGTGGTCCGCAGGTATCTTGAGTCGCAATCACATTGGTAAACTACAAGGACCAGTCAATAAAATAAAAAGAAATAGTTCTTCGAATAGAAAATAAATTTTTGGTCTTAATTTTTCTTTATATTCATTTTAAAAAAAAGCTGTTGACTCCTGAGTGTGACCGCGAAATAACACCGGCACATTCAGTTTGAGCGGTTTAAAGGCCGACGGCCAAACACGAAATTCTGCCAGGCAGAAGATCCTCCTCCCCCTGGGGGAGGAGGAAACAGGCAACGGTCGACAGGGTAGAAGGGGGGAGAGGAGGAAGCGGGGGAAAAGTGGAAGGCGCGAACTGGTTGTTGGTCTTTCAGGACAAATATGCTCTATTTTCGTCGATCTACGGCGTTGTGGTTTTCTTTCTCCGCGATCGTCCTCAGCGGTGCCTTGACGCAAAAGCAACTTGTTTCGCTCGTATTTTTCAGTCTCTTCGTTTCTTTTCCTGCGAGCGGAGCGGCATTTTTCCGGTCGAAGTAAGGACGCCTTCGCGGCTAGTCACTCGACGATCGTATCGTGGATGTGGCTCGGCCGATCCAAGTTGCAAACGGTTCCCCCAAACTTTCCTCCGCGACAGCGAAAGCAACATCGGGGTTGGCGCACGGCTCGAATGAAACCTGAAAGCCATCTTCGGTGCAACATGCCATGCTGCAGCTCAAAGAGATCGTCGGCCATCTCAGAACAATCCGAGCAAAATAGAGCGGTCGTCCGATGTCACCCGTTGACTTGTACTTGAATGCGCTACGTCATCATGGCTCCTCCGTTGGAGCGATATCTGACGCTCTTACTTCCCTCGTCAAGTCCGGTCAACGTCGTCATCTTGCACAGCCAACAGAATTTCAGATTGCGTAACATATAGTGACGTATGTAAACAACTGAGAGGGAAGGTACCCGGAAGCCGAAATGATCTGTTTTATGCCAGTAGATGCATCCGGATGATCAAAGGAATGTACATGCGTCATAGATGCTCTGCACATGTGCCAGATAACAGCCGCCATTGCTGATTTTCTCTTGTTACATCCAGGTGTCGAGACAGTGATGCGGGCGTTGATGGGCTTTAACAAAGGCCAATGCTAGTCAGAAGGTCACGGTAGAATCTAAAATGGCAATAACTTGG